TGAATACACCCACAGAATGCCAAGTTGGGGGAAACGGAGGGTTGGGAATGATGAGGATTGAAATGTAACAGATGGGAAGGACATCTGTTTGGGGAAGATTGGGAGAGGTTAACCTGAACAAATAATGCTCGTTTTTGTCTCTATTAGTTTGACCTTTCGCTTGTTAAATAGGCCACTTATTGTACTCTTGCCACATAAAGTAGAAGAGCAGGACAAAATCAGGGTTTGCCAATTTTGTTTCATCCCCGTGACAAAGAACGTGATCAGCCCAGAAGGACATGCTTCATTTTTTAACTGCTTTCCAGACATCCGTTTCTTTATTTTTTTAAAAAAATCTCAAAATTCATGTTCCTGCAGCCATTAGAGCAGGGGTGAAATCCACTTACCTTTGCTACCGGTTCGCAAATATGAGTGCACACGCCTCCTCCATGCATGCACAGAGGGTCAAAAACGGGACATGATGATATCCGGGCAGGTGGCCTGAGCCTCCTACCACTGGCGCTACCATTTCGCCCAAACCGGAGAGAACCGACTGAATTTCACCACTGCATTAGGGGCAGCTAACAGACATAAGGGCAGCTTATGAGGCAAACTCTTGCCAATTCTAGTCTTCCCTTCAAGACATTGGTACTAAAAATGTAAACAGCAGTTTCATAGCTGCCTAAGTGCCGGTAACCAACCATTTCCTGAAGGATGTCTAGAAGCTAATCTTAGATCCTTCTGAAAGGTTCCGTTCTTTGACAAGCAATCTACTCCTTCAATGTTAAATGAATGGCTTTCTGCCCCCCCTCCCCCCATATTTTCAGTTTGCACCTGGGGCTGGGAAGTTGACTTTACAGGATTAGAGAGGGATGATTATGATTCTAGGATCAGGTTGTCCATTTTTGGCTTTTATTGAAAGCCAGAAGTGAGCAAATTTGCTCAGATGCTTTCAGAACCTTTATGTCCATATAAGCATGTTTCATCAGAGGAGGTTGAGATCTCGCAGGTGCATTTCTGCAGCAGGCTAAAGGTGGTTGATGTAGGATTAACATTTGTTGGATTTTAGTTGCCTTTCTGGAAGGGGCTGACGAGGCCACTCAGTGGGCAAAAGCTGTGTTCAAACAGAACGATTCTCCAAAGATCTATCTAATCTTCTGGGGATCCAAAATAATTCCATGAATTTCCCCAGATCAGTTGAGTATTATTTTTTTTTTTAAAAAAAACTCTTTAACAATCCACACCCAACAGACCAAGCTTGTTGCTGTTAAAACCCGGAATGGGACTTTTCGCCTCCTACCCTTGGTCGCGCCTGCTTCTCCGTCAGGCTTCCGCCCCAGGGGATTCTCCTCTAGCTTTTCTCCTCGGCTGCCATGCCCCTGCTCATTCGCCATGGCCAATCAGCCATGGTCCCTCCGTCCCACACGCTTTGGCCCAGCCCATTTGATGCCACACTGTTAGTCCTGGGCTTTTCACTCCTGCTAGTGAAAATTATGCTTTATAACCACACACACACACACACACACACACACACACACACACACACACACACAAGTTCAAGGGCCACAGTAGGCTCTTGATGTAGTGCCAAGGGATGGATTCCAGAGGTTAAAGTTCCCTGAGATTCTGCAAGCATTTTTCCCTCTAAGAAAGAAAGGGTCTAATCCAAACATTTGGGAAAGTTCTGGAGTCGCAAAGCCATAGCAATAGCAGTTAGACTTATATCCAGAAAAGGTTAGCCATCAATGGTATAAGGCTTCCTGCTTGAGCAAAGGGGTGGACTAGAAGACCTCCAAGGTCCCTTCCAACTCCATTATTATTCTGTATTTTATACACCACCCCATAGTACTTTACAGCACTCTCTGGGTGGTTTACAATATCAGCATTATTTGCTTCTAGCCCCCAACAATTTGGGTCCTCATTTTACTGACCTCAGAAGCCTGGAAGGCCGAGTCAACTTTGAGCCCCATCAGGATCGAACTCCAGGCTGTAGGTGGATTTTACTGCGCTTTAACCACTGTGCCACCCAGGGCTCTTATTGCACTCTGTATTGCAATCTATGTGTTGCAATTTTTGCCCCTCTGCTAAGATCCTGAAGGTTTGCCCCCTTCTGAATGTTGTCCACTGTATCTGAAATCAAAGCAGCCAGTAGATGTGGGGGGGAGAGAGAGAAAGACCCACAAGGGCTCTATCTCCATATGGGGCAGGGGTGAAATCCAGCAGATTCTGACCAGTTCTGGAGACCAGTAGCGGAAATTTTGAGCAGTTTGGAGAACCGGCAAATACCACCTCTGGCTGGCCCCAGAGTGGGGAGAGAACGGAGATTTTGCAATATCCTTCCCCCAGGAGTGGGGAGGGAATGGGGGTTTTGCAGTATCCTTCCCCTGCCACGCCCACCAAGCCACACCACGCCCACCAAGCCACGCCCATAGAACCGGTAGTAAAAAAAAAATTGGATTTCACCACTGATATGGGGTCTCTCACCACATGGTGGTGCAAACGGGGTTCTTATTTCACAGGAAAGAGAAACTTGGTCAAAGGCTCCGAATAGCTTTATTTTGCCTCTTTTGCATTCTTTCTTTTTTATTAAAAAAAAAAAATTCTCCCTCCCAGCAGGCGGAAAGGCTGAGTTAATTATATTGAGTTTATTTCTTCTGTTTTGGTGGGCGATCAATCTTAACAAATTGTATAGCTCCCAGTCTTAGAAGGAAGGGAAAGGGCAAGCGATTTGGGTAGGGAGAGAGAGCAAAACACAAAACAGTTGATTTTCTACTGCTTAGATGATTACAACACCTTCCCTTGGCAGTTCTGCCTTGGTGCGGTCTTGTTTTCCTCTTGGATTCCCTGTCGGGAAGAGATAAGAGGAGTCAAAGATGGGGGGAAAAAAAGAAGTTTTAGAAAACTGCTGGTAAAGCAGATTGATAGCCCTTCCAGGGATGGTGAGAGTTGGGTTTCTATTTAAAGAAATAAAGAACCGAGCAAACTTTGCAAATGTCTACAGAATCATTATAGAAACAATTTGTGGTTAAAAATGATTGAAGGTGGATACCAGGGAATCTGACTGATGGGTTCATCCGGGGTTTGGGGAGGGTTTCAAAGAGACCGGTGATCTAGATGTTTGGGGGAATCAAAGCAGTGGTGAGTTTCAAATGTTTTTACTACCGGTTCTGTGGGCGTGACTTGGTGGGCATGGCAGGGGAAGGATACTGTAAAATCTCCATTCCCTCCCCAATCCAGGGGAAGGTTACTGCAAAATCCCCACTTCCTCCCGATCAGCTGGGACTTGGGAGGCAGAGAATAGATGGGGGTGGGGCCAGTCAGAATTTTTACTACCGGTTCTCCGAACTACTCAAAATTTCTGCTACAGGTTCTCCAGAACTGGTCAGAATCTGCTGAAACCCACCTCTGAATCAAGGTTTTAGTCTCACCTTTTTAAAAAATTTTTTAAAAAACCCTTTATTGTTAAAAAAATGTGTACATGGTGGAACCATCTGGGCGATATCTCCGCCATATAAAGTAAAACACAAGTCTCTTATGTATTCAATATACATTACTACTTACTAATTATATACAAATGCTTAACCTCTTATACATGCTTACACTTACATATATATTACATATATTGCCTCTTGTTTCAATCTAGGCATCCTTGTTCTTACTTGTTCTGACTTCTATTCCTTAAATCTAACCATTGATAAAATCTATTCCAAATCTCATAGCATTCTGTCCCTCCTTTATTTTTCAGTTCTAGCGTCAGTCTATCACACTCTGCACAGTGAAGTATTTTCTTTATTATTTCCCTTTCTTTAGGCATGTTTTCACTCTTCCACTGTTGGGCATAAACTATTCTTGCCGCTGTTATGATATGCAATATTAAATATGTTAACCCTTTACTTAGATCTTCTTCTATAATTCCTAATAGGAATAATTCTGGGTTGAGTTCCAATCTCTGTCATTTCTTCCAACCATATTTGAATCTTTTCTAATCCCCATTAATAACTGGTTGGGGGAGAAATGCCTCTCGTCAGTGGAGATGAACTTCTGCTTCCAGCAACTGGTAATTTTTTGACCAGGAGAAAGGATTAAAATGGAGTAGTCCAGAGGTGGTGGATATCATGTGAAGTAGTAAGCTTTCTTGATGTTTGACACAGATCATGAATCAGACTCATTGATTAGAAGGGGGAAATGGAGTGGGAAAGCAAAGAATAAATGGAGCAAAAATTTGGAAGAAGCAGGATGTCCACCTTTCCCCCTTTTCTTAGGATGGCTCGTCCTGTTTTGTCTTTGGGTACTAATTGGCATCATAAGCAACATCAGCTGATATTGATAAATGATGTTTGTAGCAGGAAGGCTCCAAGCAAAATAGTCCAATTGTATCTGGTGGTGGAACCCACTTGAGATGGATGGATGGATGATCTATGGAGATTCTCAATCATCCAATGTTCTCCGAAAGATGCTTTTTCAAAAGGCATGTGGACTTTCCTATGTTTTTCCTTGAACATGTTTCACTTCTCATCCAAGAAACGTCTTCATTCTTCAGTTCAGAAGCTTCTTGGATGAGAAGCGAAATGTTTTCAAGGAAAAACCCAAGAAAGTCCAATTGCCTTTTGGAAAATCACCTTTGCGATGGATGGACGGACGGATGGACGGACGGATGGATGGATGGATGGATGGATGGATGGATGGACTGATCAACTTACCACCCTACAGTGATTGAACAAGGAAGTCTCCAAGCAGAAGTTTGGGGTTGTAGGGCTGGCATATTGTGACTCCTCAGAAATTCTTCTTAGGTAGCCTGCTCCCCTGGCCTTTTCCTGATGTTTTTATACCGCCACCAAGACAGATAACATTGATAGGTCTGTCCTTCCCCATAAATGTTTACAATCCAGTGCCTCTTATGAACAGCCTTGGTGTAATTGTTGAGTTGTATGGAAATTTCCTAAAAGTTTGGGTTGAGCTGAGTTATTTTGCTCTTCTGCAAACTTATTTACCTATTGTTGCATCTCTGTGTTCTTTTACAGAAATCTTGTCGACACAGAAGACTTTGGCCAGACTGATATTCCTGGTAAGTCTCTCCATTTTATAAGATAGAGTATTGTGTTTAGGTTGCACCCCTGTGGAGATCCATTGCTTATTTTAGTAAAACAGCAGGTAGATTAAAACAAACTTTCATGGTCGGGCAGCTCTGAGCTGCGGCTCATCAGATATTATATGGTGACCCCCAGGGTCTTAAGAAATCTCCTGTGACGAAGTAAAGGCAATGAACTAAACTAAAACAGGACCATCTAAATGATAGTAAAATAAGGAGATATTTTCTCATGCAGGCAATACTAGTGGACCAAATCTGGCTTGTTATGAATGACCACAGCATATGGGGGATCCCACACTGATTAAACAAAGTAATGGTTGTTGGTAGTTCAACATTGCCAAAATCCAACAATTTTAGAGTGGCTAAATAATTCCTGAGCCACTGGCTATTTTGTACTGCATCTGTTTGCATTGCATTGCCCTGAAAAAAGACACGGGGGAGCCTTATAAAAAATCGGGGCACCGATTTTGTAGAAGAGGACTAATCGGAAAATCTATCTCACTTACAGTGGCGTCAGTTTCTGCTGCAATAAAATTAGAATAGAATCAGAATCAGAATTAGAATTATTACAATTGGAATGGAGTGGAGTGGAGTTGTCAGAGTGTTTACAGCGTGACTACTATTGTGAGACAACCTAGGAGCAAAATACAGTACATGGAGGTTTTGTCATTACAAACAGTGGTTTATATACAGGCGTCTATATACAGAAGACTGTTTGACTGGCTTTGCTTAGCACATGTATGTATATATTTATGACTTGTATATAAACCACTGTTTGTAATGACAAAACCTCTGTGTCCTGTATTTTGCTCCTGGGTTATCTCAAAATAGTAGTCATGCTGTAAACACTCTGACAGGAGTGGAGTGGAGTGGAGTGGAGTGGAGTGGGGTGGGGTGGGGTGGGGTGGGATGGGATGGGATGGGATGGGATGGGATGGAATGGAATGGGATATTAGGATTACCAAGAGAACTCAGTAGGAGCTGTCTATGGTACTGAAGTGCTGCACAATTGTCCAATCTCCATCTAACTCATACTCAAGACATTCCTCTGTTTGATAGCTTCCACTTCGTATCTGCACTAAGGACATACACAGTTGTCAGTTTTACACCCACAGGTGTGATTTGTGGGGAATTTCAATGTGCCCCTCCAAACACAACAATCCTGTTCCCGATAAAAGGATTGGTATCTGAGGTGGGAATGCAGGACTGACCTAGAAAGGCAGAAGGTAGCAATGTTGGAGTCCCCAGCCCGTGGTCTCCTCTGACTTCTTCATGTCAATGAAGGCAGAAAGAGAAAGCTCCCCCTTTCCTTCTTTTCAAGTCAACATCCCGTCTATCATTCCTGAAGACTGACCTTGTGTTTATTTTTTTTTAAAGGGCGTTATTCATATTTTAAGGTAGTGATAAATCAATCTGCCCTGTGTTGCACTTGTGTGTGTGTGTGTGTGTGTGTGTGTGTGTGTGTATTTCTGACAAAAGAACAATGAATTGTGGAAAGCAGAGGAGATGTTTGTGGATGTAACAAAAGGGAATAGTAGAATTTAGAAGAAGAAGGAGGAAAGTCAGCTAAGATGCTTTATTGGCAGCAAAGCACATTGTGGATGCAAAAAGAGCCTTCCCATCTGTATGCTCCCACTGCATTAGGTCTGTTTCTCTCAGAATTAATGCCTCCAGCAAGGTAGAAATGCTAAACCATTGAAAAACAGTGTAATAGAAAAATCAGTGATGTGTGATGAGGTGGAGCAGAGGTTGCCCAAACCTTTAATTTCCCGGCCTGGAATACAAGCTCATCCACCCCACAGGGCTCAGATAACCTACAAATTAAAGGCTTGTTCTTTTTTCTTTAAAAAAAAAACCCTAATAAATAACAAAATAAACCATGTTGATTCAGGAGAAGATTCTTATTGTCTGCACAGAATACTTTCTGAGGTGTCCTTATTGGTCCAGCTACATCCAGAAAATTAATTGTTTTATTTAAGATTTTATAAATCCATGTGTGTTTGGGAGGAGAAGGAAAAACAAAAAAGGAGATGAAATTTTAAAATCAATTCAAGAATCGATACAAAGAATCGGTTTAGAAGTGATAGATAAACAGCATTTGATGATGGATCCCCAAATGTTGACGATGGAGAGTTCGTTAGAGAGGACCCACTGAAATTTACAGTGAGGGGAAAAAATCTCTAGTTCTCGGGCTGAGAAGATGATGACGAAAAGTCTATTGACTTGAAAGATCACTTGTGGGTAATCTAAAGGTCTCTCCTGGTCTGCAGAGGAATGATCAAACAGCCCTCTTTTCATGCCACCGCAGCCGTCCGTCATTTTCATAGAGGGGTCTTTAGTCCTTCATTTCTTGCCTAGAAGAAATAGGTTAATAATCAAGAGGATTGCAAATGTTGCTCTAAGTAGGATTTGTTGAAGGAAGGACAAGGAGTTGGCATTCAGTATTTTCCTACTTTCCTTTGTAAGTAATTTGCTTTTGTAAAGAGCAAAGAAGGGAGATGCCTTCCTTCCTTCCTTCCTTCCCCTTCCTTCCTTCTCCTTCCTTTACTTCCTTCTCCTTCCTTCCTTCCTTCCTTCCTTCCTACCTACCTTCCTTCCTTCCTTCCTTCCTTCCTTCCTTCCTTCCTTCCTACCTTCTTCCTTCCTTCCTACCTACCTTCCTTCTCCTTCCTTCCTTCCTACCTTCCTTCCTTCTTCCTTCCTTCCTTCCTTCCTTCCTTCCTTCCTTCCTTCTTTCCTTCCTTCCTTTCTTTCTCACCAATAATCTATTTGATGTAACTTGCCTCCCCTTGGTCTGTAATTGATTCCGCCATGGGTTTCGCACAGATGATTTTCACTGTGGTCTTTTGCTTATTCCTGGACATTCAGTATTATAGAAGACATTTGAGCATGACATGAATTCAATTATTTTCCCGGCTTGCTACCGCCAAGCCACATCCACTTGGTTGACATCCACAAAACTCCAAACCTTCTCAATTGCAAGGTTGCTTTTGCTGCAAAGGCTTTCACAGGTGAGGTCGAGAAGAATGTGTCACGCTGGGCATTTGCGCTAGAAGAAGTGCCCTTGGGCAGTGTTTCTCAACTTCAGCAACTTTAACATGTGTGGACTCCAACTCACAAAATTCCCCAGCCAGAAAGCTTAAACTTGCTGAGGTTCAGAGACACTGCCCTAGGGGACATGTGCAATGCGATACAAAGGCCTTCCAAAAAACAAAAACAAAAAAAACAACCCACCAGTATTTCTTTTCATTTTGAACATATTTCCCCCATTTTCATGCTCCTTGGTGTTATTTCAGTTTCTCTCTTCTTGCATGACCTGAGCTATTCAAGAACGAGCTTCTGACATGATCTTTGCCCATCGCAGATGGCAAGACGATGCTCTATGCTTTCAGTGACGAATGAATTGGTTATGTGGAACTGGGAAAACAGAGAGATGGTTGATAAAACCCATGTTGCAGTACTGGGGAGGACTGGCTCCGTGTTGACAGGATGCTGAACCTGATTGTTGTCTTTAACCCATTTTTTTTCTGAGTTTGCACAATACAATATGTTGAACCATGAAATAACTAAGCGAGCAAGGTTCGTGCAACACACAGTCACAGAGTTAGAAATCAAAGCATGTTGGCTCATTCTAGGCAACATGGGATTCCCCCCCCCCTCTCCTCTTTAAGCAAACTGTGCAGCTCAGTCCAGTGCTGAATTGTCATGGATAGATTTCCAATTGTGTGACTATGTTAAATTAGGAAGTTCTGCCGGATGATTGGTAGATATTTTTGCATGGTGGTAGACAGAGCCGTTTCTTGGCTGTGGTTGTGCTTGAGACGGGGTGGACAACCACATAAGAACAATTCCTGTCACATTCAAAGGAGGATTAATTCAGGACTGTTAGTGGGAGCTTCTTGAATGTTGTGTAATTTTTCTCAACTATTGAGCGGTGGGAGGTGAGTTCTCAATAAATATCTGTAAGATGTAGACTCTGCAAAATCTAGATTCGCTTGCTCCATCTGAGATGATCCTTATGTCATTTTGGAACAGAAGGCTCATTGTAGAATGTCCTCTCTTTTATTTTTATTTTATTTTATTAAATTTCTATACCGCCCTTCTCTCGAAGGACTCAGGGCGGTGAACAGCCACAAGATAAAACACATAAATACAAAAGTTTAAAATAAGTTAAAAACAAATTAAATAATTTGGCTGAATTTAAAATACCCCATAATTTAAAACAAATTAAAATTTACATTTAAAAAGGGGAGAAGATTTAGGCCAGGTTAAATCTTCTTGTGATGAAATGCTAGCGTACTTCTCCCTCTGAGTCTTACTTCCTTAACCACTTTTGGTGCCTTACCACTGTGTCTTCTACATTTTTTTCCAGTCCCTGGATGGGAGCACACACAACATAGGAGAGTGAATGGCATCAGATAGATGACCATGCTCAGTTTCTCCTAGTTGGGTTTGGAGGGGTGAATCAATGGGGAAAGAAACTTGAAGACAATCCTAGAGCTGATCTGGTGGAAAGGCCATAAATGCTGTTCAATCCTAGCGGGGAGCTTGAAAATTGTTTTGGAAAGCAGACCAACTAAACTCTCCACCCACCTAAACGTAAAATGCCCATAATGTGCAAATAAACACGAGATGGGAATCCTTGTTATTTGCCATCCCCGTCTCAGGAAGGAGAGTGGAGGAGGAGTAACAAGGCTGCCACAGCTGGCAACAAAGATCTTCTTTGCTGCTGCCTGTTGGCACCAAGCCCAGATGGAAATGATAGCGAGAGCCATGTCCACCTCTCTCTCCAGCACCAGTTTCGCCTCCATCTGATCTTTTAAGTGGATCCAGAGCTTAGCTGTCAGCGAGCCTTATGCTGAAAGCCTGTTAGAAGCAGATGAGAGATTTGCTTGTTAAGTGCCCTCATCTTCTTTCACGTTGATGGCAAACTCTGAAATGAAAAGGAGTTTGGTTGACCTCCTCCTTGTGGTGGCCGTCTTCCCTTCTAGCCTCCTGGGTTTTTGGTGAATTTGGCTACAGGACTTTCTTCCAGGGATGGAGGTCTAAGTGACTCATGGCATCATGGGGCATTCAAAAGCTTGAGTTCCACCTAGTTCTGTTATAGAGCAAATCTTCCATTCTGAGATGATCTTGGAAATACCTTTCTGTTGCTCCATTCATTCAGTTCCACTCATTTTACTATGGCCTTTAGCCGTCAAGCTTGGCCGATTCATCAGGTCTGTTGTCCACCTTTCTTTCAGCCGTCTAAAAAGCAACTCTGTCAAGCACCTGGAAAATCAGGAGATCCAGGCAGTTCAGATAGGTGTAAAGATTTATTGTGAGTTCTCTACAAGAATCTGAACTACTAACAGCCAGGGGAAATTAGTGGGAGATAAGAGTAGAAGGAAGTCAAGACGGGATAGATTTAGATCTCTTAAGGGGGGGAAAGGGACTTGTGACATTTGACCCCTCCCTCCCTTGGGCTCAGCCTGGCCATCTCCTACAATCTCCTCTAGCAGTGATGGTGAACCTTTACGGCATCGAGTGCCCAAACCAGAATGCACATGTGCGCCAGAGTACCGGAAACACAAAAACCAGCTGGCCAGTGGTGGGTTGCTCCCAGTTTGGTCTGGTTCTATAGAACTGGTAGTAAAACTGGCGGGGGGCTCCGCCCACCCACCACGACGTCATCATGGGTGATCTGCACATGTGCAGAAGCTTCTACACATGTGCAGAAGAGTGTGTGTGTGCACAAGCGAAACAAGCGTGCACGCTCCCACTGCAAACCGGTAGTAAAGGTAAGTGGAACCCACTCCTGCAGCTGGCCGACATGCATGCGTGCGTCAGCCACCTGGTGTTTGGGTTTCCGGTGCATGCATGCACATGGCCAGTTGTCTTCGGGATTCTGGCGCTCCAGCATGACCAGGTGGCTGGTGCTCATGCACCTGCCGGAAACCAGAAAAGCAGCTGGCAATGGCGCATATGCCCACAAAGAGGCACACATGCCATAGGTTCACCATCACAGTCCTACAGCATCTCCTCCTCCTCCTCCTCTTTCAACTGGTTCCCAAGTAATGTCCCTGTGGTATTGGGCTACGTGATACCGACTGGCTTTAAACAATCCAGGGGACCTTCCGGGGCTGTTGGGTGAAAGGGTGGGGAAGTAGAACTTGTTCCGTTCTCCTTGGACAATTTAAAAAAGAAGCAACACAGAGTCGGTGGATTGCAGAGAAATTAAGAGCCTTAGATGCTGAGTGCTGGCTTTTATGAGACACACATAATGAATAATATCTGGGGATAATTAGCAGAAGTGTGAAGTGCTGACCATAAACAAAGAAATTGCTGATCTCTAGCAAGATCTGGGCTGGGATATTCACTGGGACATAAAAGAGAGGGGAAGCATAGCACTATCAGGTTTACAAGCTTTTGTTACAGGTAATTCTTGATTTACGACAACCGTTGGGACCAGAATTTAGGAGCCCTGGTAGCTCAGCAGACTAAAGCACTGTTATTAACATCAGCTGCCTGCAATTACTGCAAGTTCAAATCTCCCCAGGCTCAAGGTCGACTCAGCCTTCCGTCCTTTCTAAGGTAGGTGAAATGAGGACCCGGTTTGTGGGGGCAATAAGCTGGCTTTGTATAAATATATACAAAAGTATGAAGGCTATTCCTTAACGCATTGTAAGCTGTCTTGAGTCTCCGGAGAAGGGCGGCATATAAATAAATAAATAAATAAAATCTATCGCAAAGTAATGCAGTCACTGTGTGAGTCACACCCCATTTTACAGCCTTTTTTTTTTTTTTTTTTGGTCACAATCCGTAAGCAAATCGTCATGGTCATAAAAGTGAATCTGGCTTCCCCTTCGTTAGGAGCCTGCTAGGAACGTTGCGAATGGCAGTTGCCAAACACCTGATGCTGCGATGGTCGTAAGTTCAAGGACCGGTCATAAGTCACTTTGTTCAGCATCATCATAACTCTGAACAATTGTAAAACAATTGGTTCATTCGTCAAGGCCTCCCTGTACTATAGATTATAGATCTAGTTTTCCTATAGGGCAGCGCTGGCTGGGGGATTCTGGGAGTTGAAGTCCACCCATCTTCAAGCTTCCAAGGTTGAGAAACACTGCTACAGGGTCTGCTTCCTGATCAACCCCAAAGGGCTGGTCCCAATCCTTCTTAGGTAGGTAAATGTTCCCCTCGCACATATGTGCTAGTCGTTCCCGACTCTAGGGGGCGCTGCTCATCTCCGTTTCAAAGCCGAAGAGCCAGCGCTGTCCGAAGACGTCTCCATGGTCATGTGTCCGGCATGACTCAATGCCAAAGGCGCACGGAATGCTGCTACCTTCCCACCAAAGGTGTTCCCTATTTTTCTACCTGCATTTTTTAGGTGCTTTCGAACTGCTAGGTTGGCAAAAGCTGGGACAAGTCACGGGAGCTCATCCCATTATGTGGCACTAGGGATTCGAACCACTGAACTGCCGACCTTTCCATTGACAAGCTCAGCATCTTAGCCACTGAGCCACCACATCCCTTCTTAGGTACTTCTTAATCCTTCTTAGATCCCAGTAAATCAGGAAGGGACTTACCTTTCTGGTTTTTCTTTGAAGACGTTTTTCTCTTCAAAGAAGCTTTTTGGATGAGAAGCGAAAGGTTTTCAAAGAAAAACCAGAAAGTCCAGTTGCCTCTTGAAAAAGCACCTTTGGGACAACCAGGACCTGGATGATGGAGAATCTCCATAGACAGGAACCCACACCTGTACGTCTTCCAAATATAATCTTGTTTCCTAGGAGATGAGAAATCTTTCAGCCCTCTTGTCTGTTTCTCTCAAGGTCATCTCCCTGCTTCTCTACAGGACCCAGGCCCAGCGAAGGCCACATGAGAAGGACCCCGGCCCTGAGAAAATCAGGTAGAAGATCATCTGCTCCCCCCCCAAAAGAAATATCCCAATGCCCTTCTTTTTTCCCCATCCCTTAAAATGAACGAGACCCTCGCTCCCTGTGATTTATCTGAGTTTCCTCTTTTCGTTTTCCATTTTTTTGGAGCCGCACAGATAGGCATCCCTTCATCTTTCAGCATTAAGGAAGTTGCTTCTATTATGAATTGTCACCGTGAGATTAAACACCTAAATTCCAATTACAGGACCAGCTGTTCGGCTGCATCACAGCCCCCCCCCCCAGGCTAAATGATCCCTGACAGAGGAAGCATCTGAAAATGCTTGGGTGAAGAGCTTTGGGGAAAAAAAAAAGCAGGACTAAATAGTTATGGATAGCACCGTCTTTCTCCTGATCATAGTCCCCCTGGGGGCCCAAATCGGGGTGATGGGACCATCCCTCGCATTTTGCCTCTGTAGACATTAAAGGGAGGAAGGTTTTTAAGGGTGGAAAAACGGGCAGGGGAAGGGCAACGACGACCCCCTCCTGCAACTGGCTTCTCTCCACCCCTTTCCTCGGTTCTTGCAATAATCCAGAGAAAATACCAAGAGGAATCGATCAAGAGAAGGGTGGAATGGAGAAGAAGCATTGGGAATCATTTGAAAGGAGAAAGATGGGTTAGGACAAAATCAAAGCCAGGGGTGGGGCTGCTCGGGGTTCGCAGGGGTTCGGGAGAACCTCTAGCTAAAATTCTGTACAGTTCAGAGAACCCCCAAATCCCACTCCTGGCTGGGTCTACCCACCCCTCCTCTCCCAGGAGCCCCCATGCGGCCTGTTTTGGATGCAGGTAAGTGCAGGGCATGCATGGAGGCTCAGGGAAGGCGAAAAACGGGCCTACTGGAAGTTCGGGAAGGCCTCCAGAGGGCCTCCGGAGCCTGGGGAGGCCATTTTTACCCACCCGGAGGCTCAAAAAAGGCCTCCGGAGCCCAGGGAGGGCAAAAATGCCCCCCCCACCGCTGTGGTGCAGCAACTGGGCAGAGAACTCCTTGCTAAAATTTTGGAAGCCCACCCCTGAATCAAAGAGATGTCTGTGCAAAGCTATTTCCAGAGAAGCCAGCGAGATGAATTAAGAGGTCAGATGGAAGAAAAACAGAACCATCTCTTGCTTGCTCCTATTCCTGGTGAAGCTTTGGTCCACCTTTTGGAGCTTCGCGGAAAGACGACATATTTAGCATCTTGCTACAAAGGAATTAACCTGTTCTCTTTCTCCAAATCCCTCTTCCTTTTCCCACTTTGACATTTCTATTTCATTCCCCTTCCTGATACGGTTTGGTTTAAATTCTTTCCCAAAGAAAGAAATAGATACCTAGACATCTAAGACAAAGGCTACAAACAAATAGCAGATTTTCTAAAATATTTATTTGGAGACACATTTCTCAATGAACAAAAGGGGACACGGGAAATGCACCAACACGCCTTTCTTACTCTAACCTTATGATCATTCCCCCTTTGTTTTGGGACCTTAGCAGGGGTGAAATCCAGCAGGTTCTAACAGGTTCTGGAGAACCAGTAGTGGAAATTTTGAGTAGTTTGGAGAACCGGCAAATACCACCTCTGCCTGGCCCCAGAGTAGGGTGGGAATGGAGATTTTGCAGTATCCTTCCCCTGCCACACCCACCAAGCCATGCCCACAGAACCGATAGGGAAAAAATTTTGAATTTCACCCCTGGACCTTAGATGTAGCTCTTTGAATTCACATAAGGGCTGAGCTCCTGGTTTGGTGGTTGATAACGTTTTGTCGATGCTGAAGGTTTCTGGGTTTAGTCTTATTCTTTGCCTCTGCTTGAACCCTTTAGAATAAGATGTTTTTTTTCATGTTGTTTCTAATCTGCTAGTGGTTTAATGCACATTGTCTTCAAGGAAATATAGCCATGCTTGCCTTTTTAATTGCCACTTTTAATTGAACGCCGCAATGCTCATCAGTTAAAGATGTTGAGCTTTTCAATTGGAAAGCTGACAGCTCAGATTGGAGACCCGAGCGCCGCATGAGATGGGGTGAGCTCCCGTATCTTTGCTCCAGCTTCTGCCAACCTAGCAATTCAAAACATGCAAATGCGAGTAGATGAATAGGTGGGAAGGAAACGGCATTCTGTGAGTCTTTGGTGTATAGGCATGCTGATCACATGACCGCTGAAATTGTCTTCGGACAATGCCGGCTCCCTCGGCCAAGAAACAGAGACGAACATCAAACACACACCTTAGAGTCAGACACTACTGATAGGGAAATCTTTTCTTAATTGAGATCCTTGGTACTTTAAAGCAAAAGTTCTCAACCTTGGCAGTTTTAAAATGGGTGGGACTTGGACTTCCAGAATTCCCCAGCCGGCATGGTTGACTGAGGAATTCTGGGAGGTGAAGTTCACACATCTTAAAGTTGCCCAGGTTGAGAAACGCTGCTTTAAAGATTTTCTTTCCTCATCTCAGGGAAGATTTGAGGATGGGCATCTATGGAAATGTTACAGACCCAAATCAGATAGGATCCTCCGAGCCGTATTCAAGAACTCTCTGTGTGTTCTTGTTTGGAAACAGCTCCTTATTGTGTTATCTCTATCTCGAGTTCATCTTCTTGCAATAAACCAGGGAAGCGAGGAAGGCATTACAAATCCCTCTTTCTTTCCTTTTTTTTTTTTTTTTTTTGGTAATTCATCTCTGATTGCAGGGCAGATCATTTTGACCCCACTGTTGCCAGAAGCGTAAAAGCATTCCGTGGCTGTTACATTTTCTGTAAGTAGGCGATGAAAGCCAGAAGTTCAATTCCATATTAAGATACCTAATAGAAAGAACTCGGCCCCCTGAGTGCATTGCACACCTGCAGGTCTGACCTCTGGTGGAACTGTTCCAGGAAATGAAGGACATTCATTGGAGTTAAAGGCTGCCACATCTTGGAACAAATAAGCCTTTCTTGGCTGGAAAAAAAAAATCTTTCCTTAAGCTCCTAGTAAGACTGTAGAATCTAGAAGGAATAATGGAACCATATAATGAATAACAGAATCATAGAATAAATCACAGAAGGAATCACAGCAGCATAGAATCAGTCATAGGGTCATAGACTCAACCATAGAATCATAGACTCAACCGTAGGATCATAGACTTAACCATAGGATCATTGACTCAACCATAGAATCAATCATAGGATCATAGCATCGATCACAGAATCATAGAATCAAAAGGACCCAAGGGATCACCAAGTCCAACACCCTGCTCACTGCCAGATTCACTGCACTATCCCCAGTAGAGGTCTATCCAAGCTGTGTTTAAAAACCTTTGTGAAGATGAAGAAACCATTCCATGTGGTAAGTTGGTTGACAGTTCTTATTGTTCTTCTTCATGTCTCACCCGTATCTCCATCCTTGAGGTTTCACCACCATGAGTTCTGGTCTTAGTCTCTGGAGTAAGCGAGAAGTCCAAGCCCTCTACAGTTGTGATGGCGAACCTATGGCACATGTGCTCAAAGTAGCACGCAAAGCCATGTCTCCCGGTATATGCGGCCTTGCCTGTTTGTCTTCTGGGTTTCTGGCACACATGCGCAAATGACGATCAGCTGTCCTTTGCATGCGTGGCAGTGCTGAAAACCGGCTTGTGCATGCGCACTGGACAGCTGATCAATTGGGATGCATGCATGCTAGAACCCAGAAGGTTGGCTTTTCCAGAGCACGATCCCTTCACATGTGTGGCAGTGCTGAAAACTGGCCTGTGCTTGCATGCCAGCCAGCTGAATGTTGGGTGCGCATGTGCGCTAGAACATAGAAGTTTGACTTTTCTGGAGCGCGGTCCTGATGAACATGCGTGTGACATTTCTGTGCGATCTTTTTGGCACTTGGTGCCGAAAAGCTTCGCCATCACTGCTCTACAGTATGATAAACCATCAGATCTTTCAAAATAGTCATCTCGTCCTTGCTTACGTTTCTCTTCTACAAGTGGAACCTACCCAGATCTTTTCACCATTCCTCACAGGACCTGATTTCCATTTCTTTCTCCCACCCGGTAGCCTTCTCTGGATTTCCTCGATTTATCAATGCCTTTTTATAACCGGGGCGTAAAATTCAAGCTGCGTGGCTTTCTTCCCATTAAAAATCCATTGTTGTAACTTCTGTTCCTTTTGAGAGCTTTTCAAAGCCATGTTAATAGATGGCAATGTCAACAGCGGGGTCTTGCGGTATCAAAAGGCTCATTTTTATATAGGCTAAGCTTCTGCAAAATACAATCCCCTATCTTCAAGGTGCCGCAAGATTCTTTGTTGTTTTTGCCGCGTGCTTCTGTTGTTGTATTTACTCGGGTTTAACTAAGAGTGTGTTGACATCTTGGATCATAAGTGCTTTGATCTGGTTTGCAGCTTTGTGAAGTTATTTCTCCTCCCCTTCCCCCAATCTACAAGTGACTTGTACATTGATGAACTGCTGTTCAAAGGCCAGCTACAATTAAGATAGTTCCTATTTTAAGAAGCGATGAAAATAGTTCCATTGAGGTTCTCTTTGGTGTACTCGTTTGTGTGAATAAAACACTACAACCAGACAGAAAGAATCTTCACACAGTAACCCATATGAACTCTCACCACGCATGTGAGTTTTCCCTACTTCCTGGGTTTAGTTTTGCCATATGTAGGAATAAAACTCTTATTTTTCAAAAACCAGGCCAGATAATTAATATTACATTCAGCTCCCAGAAATAACTGAACTTACAGTTATGGAGGTCAACCAAGCTAGATGACGATGAACTCTTCCATCCGATTCATTTCCCAAGCTAGAAAATAAACCACGGAGGAAACTTACTCACATATTTGTTAAGAGCTATATTCTGCCATCCAGAACAGTGGTAGGTTGCCCCTGGTTCAGACTGGTTCTATAGAACCGGTAGTAAAACCGGAGATAGGCTCCGCCCACCAACCCTGATGTCATCAGAACACTTCTGTGCATGCATGCGAGCAAAGCGAGAGAGCGCCCGTGGCCCCGTTGAGAACCAGTAGTAAAGGTAAGTAGAACCCAACCCTGATCCAGAAGCTCAAGAACATACCTTCCTCCAATTTTCCCCATCAGAGAAAGCCAGTGAGATAGGCTGGATTGTGACAAAGACATCCAGGGACTTTCTGGGAGTTGAAGTCCACCCATCTTAAAGTTGTCAAGGTTGAGAAACACCACTTAAAAGATTTTATTTGCTCATCCCTAGGGAATAGTTGAAGATGGGCACCTATGGAAATATTACAGACTCAAACCAGAGAGGATCCTCTGAGCCATATTCGAGACCCCTCTGTCTGTTCTTGTTTGGAAGCAGGGTTAGGATTAGGGTTAGAGTTAGACTAGGGCTAGGGTTAGGGTTAGAGTTGGGACTAGGGTTACAGTTAGGGTTAGGGTTGGGGTTGAGGTTGGGGTTGGGCTGGAGTTGGGGTTAGGGTTGGGACTAGGGTTACAGTTAGGGTTAGGACTGGGACTGGGACTGGGACTAGGGTTACGGTTACAGTTACGGTTGGGTTTACGGTTAGGGTTGAGGTTGGGATTAGGGTTAGGGTTGGGACTAGGGTTAGGGTTAGGGGGTGGAAGACTTGTTTTCCTGTTCTTGGTCTAGCATATTAACTAGTCTGCCCCCCTAGCCTCCGTATACATCCACTCCATCACTCTTAAAGGACTGGTCTCTTTTAACTTGATAAAGCTGATTTATTCAAAGGAATTGCCTGAAGCTATTTGGAATGTCTCGTCTGAAGAACAGCCTCTGAAAACTTAGCATGGTGCTTTTGGCGTTCAATACCTTGAGACAAACTAGACACTGATTTTGGATCTTGTTCACCCTTCCCGAAGCAAAATATGCAATTACGGAGAGTGCCGTGAGCAAATAAGCCATCATTTGTGAGGGAAGCCCAGGGTCTCTTACCCTCACTAATGACAGCCCAAAGAGTGGAGCTATTTCACAAAAAAGCTTCATTAAAAGATTAGACTTCAGAATTTAGTTGGGGAGTTTGACAGAGAGATTTTTAGCATTATTGTTAAAAGAAATCAAATGGGTGTTTTATCAGATGGGAAACTATGTGAGTGGGTAACTCAAGAGGGCAGAAAAAGATGAAGGATAATTTAGAAGAAAGAGCAGATGAACGAAGTCAGCAGCAGTAGCAGTTGCAAACCATAAAATGAAATAAGATGTTTGAGCATTTCCAACTTCTGGAGGCAAGTTGTTCCACTGGTTAATTGTTCTAACTGTCAGGAAATTTCTCCTTAGTTCTAAGTTGCTTCTCTCCTTGATGAGTTTCCACCCGTTGCTTCTTGACCTACCCTCAGGTGCTTTGGAGAATAGCTTGACTCCCTCTTCTTTGTGGCAGCCCCTGAGATATTGGAACGCTGCTATCATGTCTCCCCTAGTCCTTCTCTTCATTAAACTAGATGTACCCAATTCCTGCAACCAATCATCGTATGTTTTAGCCTCCAGTCCCCTAATCAGGAGTGAAATTCAACAGGTTCTGATAGGTTCCAGAGAACCGGTAGCGGAAATTTTGAGTAGTTCAGAGAACTGGTAAATATCACGACCTGGCCATCGAAACTACACAGCTATGGATGAAACATGTGACAGTGATACCCATTGTCATTGGGGCACTTAATACCATATCCAAGAATTTTATAAGGTACACCAACAAATTGCAGCTTCCTGCATTAACACCAGCGGAACTGCAAAAAAATGCGCTACTTGGAACATTGTACATCTTAAGAAGGTACTTGGTTGATACCTAGGACGCTGGCAGCAGCCCCTATCAACCATTAGCACCAGTCAATCGTATTTGTGACACATTTTTAAATGGTCAGTTGACTGAGTCTCATGTTTAATCATGAAAAAGACACCAGAAATGTTGGGTTTGAGATCTTCTTCAGGCACGAATCCCACACACACACACAAAACTGGCTGGGGGGGGGGGGGGATGAAGCCCAATCTGCAGCTCTTCTCACACCAGGAAAGAGGATTTCTCCCGTCAAACAGATGGCTGTGCTGTCAATCTTGTGACAGCTCAGATTACCTTTGGAGGGAAAACAGGAAAAAGGTGGGTGGGGTCCTCTTTCCACCCCCCCTCCCCACCAGCTCTTCTTTTTTGCAAACAGGTTGTGATTGCTGCTAGGAGTGAAAACACCATGCCTACCAACTGCCTCCACGTTTCCGTAGAATGTCTTCCCACCCACCCACCCTCCTTAGCGTGGCATGCTGCGGAAAAACGTGGTGGGAAGCAGACAGTTCCCGCAGCCAGAAAAACTATCCTGCCTTTTCTTCTTTGGCTTGCAGGAAAAGTCATGGGTTGCAGATTTGTTGGTGAAGGAGAAGGGGGATTAGGTAAAGGGGGCAGGGACGGCGTGGTGTCCCTTGACCTCGTTTAACGATAAGCTGGCAAGGTTGTCTGGATGGGAGTGGGTGAGAGCATCCCGGCATCCATTCCTAACCTGCTTTCTAAGGATTGCAGCCACGTGATTGATTGATTAACTGATTTAATTTATAGGCCACCCAGCTTACCTTAAGGCAGTGTTTCTCAAGAAACACTGCCTTAAGGGGTCTTAACTACCATAAAAAAGGTAAAAATTATATACGCTGAAAACATAAATAAGTGATGTGCTACTCTTCATCCCAAGGATTTTGCCCCAAGGGTCCTGGGGACCGTGGGAAGCCCAGGAGGCTTCAAAAGGATGGAAAGGTGGGTCAGAGAAAACAGCCAAAGTAGCCCTTGGTGCTGCTTCTAGCATCCGTCAGCTCCAAAGCTCCGTCCAGAGAAATTAGGAAGAAAATTTCAAGCTACCTGAGAATCGGGTGGAAAGATAGAAGCCTTTATTTTATTTTTTTCATAGGGAAAGAAAATGTTGGTGAATTTGGAGAACAAATGGTGTCGTGGCTTTAGGGGTCTTGAAATGGTAGGATAGGGGATGGTAGATTATCCCCTTGAATGAAAAATCACAAAATATTTTCAGAAAAGTAGAGAAGGAGGGAGGGAGGGAGAAAAGAAAGAAAGAGGGGAGGGAGGGAGGGGAGAAAGGGAAGGGAAGGAGAAAGGGAGGAAGGAAGGAGGGAGGGAGGGTGGAGGAAGGAAGGAAGGGAGAAAGAGATGGGGAGAGGGAGGATGGGAGGAAGAAAGGAAAGGAGGGAGGGAGAAAGGGAAGGGAAGGAGAGAGAGGGGAAGGGAGGAGGGAGGGAGGGAAAAGGAAGGGAGGGAGGGAGGGAGGGAGGGAGGGAGGGAGGGAGGAAGGAAGGAAGGAAGGAAGGAAGGAAGGAAGGAAGGAAGGAGATAGAATCTCAGCATTTTCCTTCTGAAAAGGACCTTACACCATCCTCCCTCCCCCCCCCCCCCCCCCCCCCCCCTCCCTTGAACCTGAGGTCTCAGTAGAAACTTCCCTCCCAAGATTGAGAACAAATTTAGCGGAAGTAATTGTTTGGATCAGGACTTCAAAGAGTTAAATTCTCCTCCCGCCTTCCCTCATCCTGA